GCCCACCGCTGACGCCGATGCAACTCCGCCCACCACAGCCGACACAACTCCGCCCACAGCCGACGCCGACGTCGCTCCGCCCACCGCCTCCACAGCCAGCAGCTCCAGATGAGACAGCAACACTCAGCCCTGCCGGGTCTTCACCATCCCCCCAGACCTCCCCCTTACTGAGGACAAACAGTCAGTCCTCAGTAAAGGGCTCACCTTTGTCCCCTCCACCCACACATCAACAAATACCGGTCACGCTTGGCCATAGAGCAGTTTTTCCGCCGCCTCTGCCTCCGCGCTTACTTCTTCAACCGTGAGCCTAACCCTCCCTCTACTGACCCCTTCTCCCGCCTCCAACACACCCCCTCCTCCTGGACACCACCCCAAGGCCTCCTACCCTCCCTCGACCTCTTCATCTCCAACTGCCGTCCTGACATCAATCGCCTCAACCTCTCCACCCCTCTCACCCACTCCAACCTCTCCCCCGCAGAATGTGCAGCCTTCCGCTCCAATCCCAACCTCACCATAAAACCCGCGGACAAGGGAGGCGCAGTTGTAGTATGGCGCACTGACATCTACATCGCCGAGGCCAGACGCCAACTCTCCAACACCTCCTCCTACCACTCCCTTGATCATGACCCCACCCCCGACCACCAAACCATCATCTCCCAAACCATCCACAACCTCATCACTTCAGGTGACCTCCCACCCACAGCCTCCAACCTCATCGTTCCCCAACCCCACACTGCCCACTTCTATCTCCTTCCCAAAATCCCATTTCTGAAGAAGGGTCTAGGCCCGAAATGTCAGCCTTCCTGCTCCTCTGATGCTGCTTGGCCTGCTGTGTTCATCCAGCTCTACACCTTGTTATCTCAGATTCTCCAGCATCTGCAGTTTCTACTATCCCTTAATCATACTAGTTCTGTTCTGATTTTGGAAAGTCTGAGATTACAGTCCACCCCGCTCTCCACCTCCTCCACACTTCACAGCGTTGTCTGCGTCTTTTGTTTTGTTAAACCTTGACTTTTAGTAACAACTGAAAGTATTTCATGGCCTAGTATGTCTTCAATAGGAGGTGTTCACAACTTGAGTAGCCCCTGTCTCCATCTGTCATGACTCAAGAGGCATTAACCATTGGCCTCAGTCTATCAGTTGTTCTTGGAGATAACACTGCAGTCAAACGATCCTCAATGCTGCTACCTCCAAATAAAAGTCCTCATGACCATTCATTGCTACTAGAGCAGTTTAAAGGTTTTCCTTCAGGCAGGTGACTGTCTCTCCATAATACTCATCCCATTCCCATTCTACTCCTTTCCTAAGGATCCTGAGTAGGGAGGTTGCTGCGGCTGGATAAACTTGGATGAACTCCCTACAGTGCTCATTCTTTCCTAGGAAAGACCTTGCCACAGACATACAGGTAGTTTCTGTATTGCTCCTCCATTTTTGCCTCATCTATAGCCCTTTTCCCTCCCTAATCATTAGGCCTAGAAGCTGCACCTCTTTCTGTTCTATCTGGGCCTTCTTGGGATCACTTTAAACCCTGTCTCCTTTTACAGCTTTGACAGTTCATCCAATAGTGAGCCATGATCCTCTGTACTGCCTGAGACCATTAGCAGATTATCTGTATCCTGTACCAGTTGGCTAGGTGGGCTAAACATCTTCAGGTCAATGGCTGTGCACTAAAGGAAGATGAAGGAATGTTGTGGAACATTTGTGGGAAGCATGTCCATTTGTACTGTTGCCCCTTAAATGTGAAGGCAAATTTATATTGGCCTTCCCATCTTGCTGGAATAGACCAGAACCCTTTGTCTATTCCTAATACAATGAACATTAGCACCTTTTCCAGGATGTTTTCCATTCAATTTGTCACTGCTGCTGTGGTACTTGTGCAGGCGGGGTTGTCTACATTGAGAACCCAGTAGTACACCACGGCTCTCTACAACTGAGCAGGCTACCTAACCAGCCACTGGGATGAGTTTATGTGAGTTGCTACAATCCTCAATACACCCTGGGTGTCAGTTAGCTTAGTTGGCTGGATGGCTGGTTGGTAATGCAGAGTGACACCAACAATGTGGGTTCAATTCCTGCACGAGCTGAGGTTACTCTTTCCTTGCCTGAGGAGAGGTTAAACCACCATCTGTCATTTCTCACTTATGAGAGAACAGCCCTAAGGTCTGGTAAGACCATAGTGACTTTACAGTACGCCAAAACGACTTCCAAATTTCTCCCTGCAGAAATTAGTTTGCCTATGAGGTTGCAACATTGGTTTGCCCTCTGCTCCAACTACTCTACCACTGTAGTATCAATTGATGGTGAATACAATGAGCTTAACTTGCACACACTTCCAATATGTGGTGGGTTGTTTCCGACTAATTGATCTAAGTCGTAGCATCCCTTCAGCTGCACACTGCAGGCATTAACCTTCATGTTGTCATCCTTGGGGATTACAAAAATATCTTCTGGCTTGCCTGGGTCAACGGCACCCTACAGACAATGGTTTGTCATGTGTATAGTGACATTGTGGGCTAGCATGAAGGACCCCAGCACCAGTTTGTTTCAATTGCATCAAGATGCATTTTGATTTAGTGGCAGGGGGTTTGAGAGTACCCAGCCTGTTCTTTCCCTGTGAAGCCCAGCAATTTAAAAGATGGTCTGCACAACCATGGTATGTTCTAAATTTCAGCCCTTTTGATCATACCAGTTGTGTTGTGATGTTGTAATATCTGTGATTAATCCACAAAGCAGCTGTCTCTGCATTTTATGTTGAAGTTTGGCTTTTATTTACAGAACTTGAGTCTATGGAGTTTGGGGTGTTTCCACCATATTTCATATTGTCCAGTTGGAGTGAATTCTGATCCCACAGTAGGCAAGCATTTATTACCCATCCTTAACCACTGTTGCCCTTATGGTGTATGAAACAATAATGAAGTTCCAGGATTTTGACCTGTGGGGTGTAAAGACAAGGTGTAAAGAGCTCTAAATTGGCAGTGCTGGCTGTCATTAACACAGTGTTACACAGTGATCAATGTCACAATCTGTCTCTTTGGCATATTTCCAGCACATATTCCCTAGCCTAGACTAAACCAAGATGGCAAATGTATCAACCTGAACCAGAAGTGTATGTAATTTTGGAGCGAGAACAGAACCTGTAGCACCGATGAAACAGATGCTATGTAATCAAATTTTACAACATTTATGTTGGTTTTCAGACTTCTACAATACAGGTATTACTTTAGAGCAGAAATGTACAGTTACCAATTAACAAAAAATTCCTTCATCAATTAAGTTTGAATGAATCTGAGTGTGCAGATATTTAAACTATTTCTCCACACAGCTGACTGAAAGATAGAGACAGCAAGAATTTCAGATGCTGGAATCAGAGACAACAAAGTGTAGAACTGAAGGAACACAGCAGGCCAGGCAGCACCAGAGGAGCAGGAAAGTTGATGTTTCAGGTCGGGACCCTTCTTCAGAATTGGCGAGGGGAAAGGGAGCTGGGAAATAAATAGAGAGGAGGGGTGGGGCTGGGGAAAGGTAGCTGGGATGGTGATAGGTGAATGCAGGTAGGGAGTGGTTGGGATTGTTGGGGTGGATAGGTGGGAGAGAAGATGGACTGGTCATGTTGGGTCAAGGAGATGGGAGGGAGGATGAGTCGGGCTGGGGAAAGGTAGGTGGGGTGATGATAGGTTGGATGCAGGTAGGAGGTGGTGGGGATTTGTCGGTGGGAAGGGTAGGGCAGATAGGTGGGGAAGAAGATGGACAGGTTGTGTCAGGTCAAGGAGGCTGGGATGGGAGGGAGGTTCAGATGTGGGATGAGGCCAGGGGGAGGGAGATTTTAAGACTGGTGAATTCTATATTAAGGCCATTGGGCTGTAGGGTCCTAGAACATAGAACATAGAACAGTACAGCACAGTACAGGCCCTTCGGCCCACGATGTTGTGCTGAACTTTTACCCGAAACCTAAGGTCTTTCTCACCTCCACCGCTACCTTATACTATCATCCATATGCCTATCTAATAGCCGCTTAAGTGCCCCTAATGAGGCCGACTGCACTACCCTCTCCGCCAATGCATTCCACGCCCCTACCACTCTCTGAGTAAAGAACCTACCTCTGACGTCTCCCCGATATCTACTTCTTTTCACTTTAAAACTATGTCTCCTCATAAAAGCTACCTCCACCCTAGGAAAAAGTCTCTGGCTGTCTACTCTATCTATACCTCTGATCATTTTGTACACCTCTATCAAGTCACCTCTCATCCTTCATCGTTCTAAAGAGAAAAGCCCTAGCTCTCTCAACCTTTCCTCGTAAGACCTTCCCTCCATTCCAGGCAACATCCTGGTAAATCTCCTCTGCACCTTTTCTAACGCTGCCACATCTTTCCTGTAATGAGGTGACCAGAACTGGACACAATACTCCAGATGTGGCCAAACCA